AAAATTAAAAAGTTTTTTAGTAGTTTTCTTTTTTTACTGTAAAGTATTTATATATAATAAAATTTTAAAGATTAAAAATAGATAAAATTTTAGATTTCTATTATTTACTGATTTTTTTTTTTATAAAACTAATTTTTTATAAAAGTTAAAAATAAGATTATTTTATTTTTAATATTAAATTTTTTTTTTAAAAAATATTTTTAAAATAAATATTTAATTAATTATAATTAATTTAATAATAAAATTTTCTGCAAATATTAAGAAAAATATAAAAATAAATATCCAAAAATTTTAATTAATTAAAAAATTTATAATTGATAAGTATGAAAAATATTATATTATTATATAAGAGAAGACATTGATGATAATGATCTAAGAGAAGATAACAATTTCTAAGAAATCTTTTATATCTTATATGTCTTTTATATTATCTATACCATTTATTTCTTCTATATAATATATTATTTTTATTTATTTTATATTATTTATATTATTTATTTCTTATATTATATTTATTTCTTTTATTTCTTTTATTATTTTGATAACTTTATATATTTTCTTTTATATAATTAGAAAACATTTTCTTTTAGCTTAATAGTATGTTTTAAAGATAGTTTATTAAATAGTTTATTTTATTTTTCTAATATACTTGTACAGTACAAAACACTGATTAAGGCAGTACTCAATTATTATCATTATTATATAAACCATCTACTGATCAATACTACTTTTAAAATTAATTATAAAATTAAACTTCTACTTACTATTTGAATTATCACTTTATTTATCACTTATAAGTATCTTAAAGAACTAATAATAACAATATTAATTTTGAAAATTAATAAAATAAGATTAAAAATCTATTATTAAAAAAAATGCTAATTTAAATAATTAATATATTGTAAGTTTTTTAATAATATATAAATAGAATAAAAATTATAAATAAATAATTATTTTAAATAATTATTATTAGCTATTTTAATTATAATTTATAATAAAATAATTTATAAGTATAATTTTATAAAAATATATAGGAAGATATTTAGAAAATAAGAATTTAAAAATTTTTATTATATTTTAATTAGTTTAAAATGAAGTGAAGGATTATATATATCTATGTAAAGTATCCTGATATTTTGTCTGCTCAAAATTGAGTTAATGCTGATTGGCTTTTGCAATATTTTTTTAGTTAAGTTCTATAATATTAAAATGCAATAAAATTAAAATTTTTTAAATTTTTTAAAATTAGATTTTTAAAATAAATCTATATAAATTTGTAAAATTTATATTATAATCTTATATAAATTTACATTAAATAAAAATTTATAAAAGGATTTACTCATTTTATTAACAATTAATTAATTATTTAATTTTACTAATATAATCATTTTATTGATATAATTATTTTTATAACATAATTATTTATTAATATTAAATATTGTAATTATTTTCAAAGTTATAGAATAGCTAATATATTTTAGATTCTATATTTTTTTATAATTATATTATTTTACTTAAATATTAATTAATATAATAATGTTTTTTTTTAATTCTATACTAAAATTTTTGTTTATTGATAATTCTATAACTAATAAAATAAATTAATGATTTTTTAGAAATATGATTATTAGAAAATGATTATATCAGCAAAGTGTTTGTTAATAATATTATTGATGATAAAATGAGTGTCAGCTAGGTGAATCAAACTCCCTTGTAAAATCTATAAACTTATACAACTTTATATAATCTTATATTAATTTGCAATAATTATAAGCAAGATTTTTATTATTTTGTTAATTTTAATTCATACTTGATATGTAATACAACAGGGACCATTTTAAATAGTTTCAAATATGATAATTTCGAAAAAAAAGAAAATTAAAAAAAAGATTTTACATTCTATTTATTTTAAAACATCAAAAATTTGCCAATTTTCGATCACCACAGATCTAGCTCATGAGATGGAATTATGAAAACTCCATAACGTTTCTTTAAATTTTTTAATTCTTTAACTTCTTGTGAGGTCATACGATCCATTCTTGCAATTCCTAATACTTTAACCGATTTCTTACTTTTTATAAATCTAGTAATAACTTTCAAATGATTATAATCCCAACCTAAATAATCCACAATAATGGTTTCTATAGGGGCGCTACAAGTTTTAAATAATTCAGTAAATCTTTCCAATGTAAAACCACATTTTAATTTCAAATATTTTAATGAAGGGGGTAAAACTTGACCAGTCACTCTAAATTGCTCATAATCAGAATTTTTTGAATCGATAAAGATTTCCAACCTTTTCAAGTTTAAACCGAAAAATAAGGAATGGAATAAAATAGCGTCGTCATGATCATCATCAAATGGTAAATTAACTAATTTTAATCTTTCAACATTTGAACAAAAATTTAATATCGTTTCAACTATATCTGAATTAATTAAATCGATCTCTAATTCTTTAAGTGAAGAACCTCCAACGTGTAAGATTAACCCTGATTTATTACAAGATGAAGAAAGTCCTAACTTCAATTCACTTAAGGAAAATTTAGACTGTAATAATACTGAAGAATTTTCCAAGACGAAATCTTTACAATCCCATAAACTTAGGTGCCTTAAATTTTTACAACGAGCCAAAGCATCAAAACCAGTTTCCGTAATGTATACATTTTCTAATTTAATTGTATTCAAGGATTCGCGTGATGGCAACGATAAAAGGATTTCTTCGCTACTTGTAATTCCTGATATATGAAATTCATTCAAATCTTTTTGAGTTCTAATTATACGTGAAATCGCTTTATTCATGTCAAGATTATATTCATACTTGTGAAATTTTATATCAAGGCAACGTATATTTGAACATAAGGCTGGTAAGATTTCTACCAATTGGATGGTATTTATGGTCATTGGTTTACTATAATCAATTTGAAATCTGGTCAATTGACTTAGCCCCGGTAGTGTGAGCGCAAATGTGGAAACTTGCGGAATATCCGAGTGACTAAAGTATTTATCGATGATGAAAGATTTCAAAGAATTGGACTGCCTCATAAATAGTTTACAAAGCGTCGTCGTGATCAAGAGGATTTGATCTTCTTTATGACGACTTGTAAATGTTTTGTTACACCAAATGTGAATGGTGGAATGGACTGCCATTTCCAATTGTTTGTAAGAAAATTCTTCCAACCACATTGGATAATTGAAAATTGGTTGCCTCGTATCGGGAATTTCAATATTATAAGGTCGTAATAGAGAGTTTAAGCCTAAATTCTCTTCGCGATCTAGGCAAGCAAGGTATGTATGAATTAACTTACAACGATTTTCTGGTGATAAATCTTCAACAAAAGGATGTGACCATAGTAGGTGTACGACATTTTTACACCAATATCGGTTGACCAAAAGGCAAGGGTATAATCTAGAACCTTGAGCTTGAATATTTTTGAATATCTCTTGCATGCATTCCGTTGGTAGAAGAGGTACGGGTACATTGGAATGTTTTTCATTAAATTGCTCCTCGGGAGGTTCTATAGCAACTATAAAATCTTCAACAAGCTCTAGAAATGATTGTACTAAAAAGCAGTAAGCTGATTTCATTTTCAGAAGAATAAAAATTCTTTTTTTAAAAAAAAAAAAAAAATCTCTTTTTTTAAGGCCAAAGTTTTTATATATTGCATTGTTCTCACGGATCGTACAAAGAAAAAAAGAAAAATTAACTCTTTTACCTAAATATTAATATATTCCCATTGTTTCGAAAAATGGTTGAATGCATAAAAAAAAATTCCATTGTTTATTATCGTTTAACGCCATTTAACGTATGGAAATCTAAGTGTTGATCTCGAATATTGGTTCATTGAAAAAAAAAAGTAGGGAAGGGATCACGCATAAATATTTTTTTTTCTACTTTCTTTTATAGGAGAGAATATTATAGAATCATAAAGAGGTGCATGCCTTTATTATTCCCATTGGAATTGGACGATGAAAGCCAAAATGATAATGCCAATCGATGATGATAAGATCGTTGGTTAGAAATTATGCAAAAGTTAGTAAAGTTCATTTAAGGTTCATAACGCCAATCAATACACAAATTACTTATTAATCCATTATTACCATTATATTAATAATTATTTAAAATCTTAACCGAATATTAAGTACGTAAAAAAGAAATGCTGTGGTTACTACTATATGATTGATTTCCTATAGTACAAAATACCTGAGCCTTTTTTTTTAATTAAATCTGATCGTCATGAACGGACCGTTAGATGTTCTATAGTGGAATTTGTAGATCAATCAATGGCGGAAAAAAATGACATGCGAAAAGAAAAAAAATAGTTATCTGGACACAAAGTTTCTTATTTGACCTGATGGAAGACAAAACTTAATGAAAAAGAATAACCCTTCAGAAAATTTTACCTAATGATTTATAAGTTCACTTTTCGCGGTCTTAAATCTCTCAATAAGGAACATATATATGGAATGAGTTGAAAAGCGCGAAATCTTCCAATCCCATCTTCAAAAGAATCGTGGAATTGCTTGTTATTTATGCGTAACGTACTGATGTCACCTCCTGTGATAGAAATAAAAGATTTCCTAAGTTCAATATTCAATAACTAAAACAAAATTGTAATATAAGATTTACGATTACTTGGACCGCCCAACATCAGAAAATCCTCGGACACGTGATTACGGACACGTGATTACAAAGTAAAAGGCGCATTTGCATATTTGACAAATAATAAGTGACAAAATAGTATTTCAAACATAGTAAAAATGATTTATTTATCGGGAGGATATATAATTATCCGCAGCAAGATTTTATTTTTATTTTTTTTTGTTTAGAATCGGTAGATTCCCTTACATATATTTTCTCCCAAACTTTGTACATAAAAAAAAAGAGAAAGAAAAAAATAAACATGAGGTTGAAAAAGAAAAAGGAATTGCTAACAAAATATGTTATTGAGGGTTTTACTACATTGAAAAAAAAAATTTACAGATATAAAGACGAACGTTAATCACTGTGGATAATTCTCATCCAACATAAACAAAGGTGGCAAATCACCATATTGTTGTAAATCGAAATACATATCAAATAATGAGTTATCCATAATACAATCTTCCGATTCATCTAACCATGATGAAAAAAATGCATCATCAGATACGGAAGTTTCGACCATTTGTGGCGGGGAGTCAACGGAACCGTTGTCAGAATATTCGGAATTACTCGTAATATCCGATTCAGGCGATTCGAATATAAAACTTATAGGGGATGTGCAATAATTCTCGTTATTGGCAGCAGAAACCGTGGTTGATGAAGCGGTGGCATTGACGAAAGGAAGTTCATCCTCCGAAATTGTCATATTCAATCCTCTAACCCTGTCGAAGGACGATCTATATTTTGACATCAATTTAAGCTTTGCAGCTTTCCTATCCCAATACTTTTTGATTTCCGGAGGCTCCTTTTTCCACATTGCACCGATTTCCCTTGATAAGTTCCTCATGTCGTTGGGATGCTCAGGATCATTATATAGCAATTCTTGTACATGCTTACGATAGAGCATAAATCGATTAGGTGTCCTATGTGGCTTTGTTGATTTTAGTTTATCTTGATCGCGTTTAGCCTTTCTACGCGCGTTTCGATTTATTCTTTGAATGACTGCCTTTCTCTTCAAGTCTAACATGTTAGCCTAAAGGTTTTTTTTTTAAAAAAAAAAAAAATTAAAAATAAAAAATCAAAGAATTGTGGTTAAATTCGATATCTTGAGTGAATAAATAATAGGGGGTTTTCGTTTTAGGATTTTAAGGATAAATATATTTTTTTTTTTTAATGGAAGTCAAACTTCGAAGGTAAACTGGAAGGCAGGATTAAGACCATTTTATACCTTTTTGACGTCTATGTGCTATATAAATTAAATTCTATTAACAAGTTCACGCGAAGCTTTCACCGACGAAAACATGTGAAAGCATCAAAACACAAAAAAAAAAAAGAGATAAAAAAAAAATCTAATTGTTTTACGTTCCATCAAATTTTACCAAAATTGGTAAAATTAATGTTAAATCAAAACCTTTTGCTTCTTGTTTTAGAAAGGTCGGATTGGGAAAAATGACTTTTTATTTATCCAACATGATAAAAATAAGAATAAGAAACTTACATGATTGTTCACACGGAAATATTTAAACATATTTAAATGGCAAATAAAATAAAATAAAATCTTATGTAATGCAATACAAGTTTAAGCATGTCTTTGTTCCAATTAAAAACTCAATGCTTTAACGGAGTCCTTAATACCGTTAAAGTCAGAAAGGAAAGTGAAAAATAAAACTGATGTACAATAAAATCAAAACCTTAAAAACTCTTATCAATAGCTATGCATGAATTCTTATTTTTTTTACAAGTTGTGACACGTTATTATCTTATTATGCGATATTTTTTTACTCTGAACACTAAACTTTTAAGGTTCCTTCTTTGATCTCCTGCGGCTATTCATCATATTCATCAGCGGCTATGGTCCTGTAGATTTTTTCTGCTACTAAAATGGGACTAGATTTTCATGTGTGACATTGTGTCACTTAAATACCGATGTCGCTTTAATTTTTTCTCGAAAAGTAAACAAAAGATACAAAAGGAAACAAAAACTATCCTGTATATTGTATGGCGTCTGTGTAGCAAACCTGTGTAGCAAACCTCTTTGGTCATTTATTTTTGAAAATTAATCTAAATTTAGAAGCAAAGAAAATGAAAAGAATAGTCGTTGTTTTGTTGATGTTTATGTCATGTTATACTACTGATATTGTGTAATGCCTTAATTCAAAAGATTTCCTCCTGTTTTTTATCTTAACAAAAAAAAAAAAAAAAAAAAAAAAAAAAAATTGAAAAGCGACGCTTGATAAAAGTGAATGTATTTTTATTATCATTTTTAGTTTATTTAAGCAAAGATACGAAATAAAAATTCTAGTGAATTTCCTTATAAAGCGTTATTATTCGTTTCTTTTATTACTAACTTTTTCCATGTTTATTAATCACGTGAATTATGAAATTAATATGATTATAATTGGTATAATTGCATTTTTTGTTTGATTGTTCAAAACGAAATTTTGATTGACAAGACACAGTTCATTGAAAGATGCATAATAACAAGTATTTGATTTAACCAATCAGGAGCAAAATATTAATCGTTTTTTCGGCTTTGTACAAATATCAAAACCATTTTTTTTTAATCTAATTGGGTTTTGAAGTGAAATTTTGTTCCCAATCCCAAACCGCGAATTCGGTACGTAGTAAAGTAGCAAAACATTTTATTAATTATTATCTATTTTATGATAGTCTTATCACAATTATCACAATGATAATATTGAACTTACTAAAGATTACTATCGTTTCTTCAAAAATCCTTTGGTTTAAACAATATTTTTGAAAAAGTAAGTTTAAGAAATATTCTTATTCACGTAAAATAAAGATTCAGCTAATTATGAGGGGATATCCAATCCAGTTTCAGATGATTCAAATATAAAATCGATGTTGAGACCTAAGTGCTTGTTCTCGGTTGGTCGGTTTTGCAGTTGATGAGAGCGGTAGCATTATCATAAGATGCGAAATACGTCAATAACATTGATGACATTATTTTAAGTTTTGCGGCTTTTCGATTCCAATATTGTTTAATTTCAGAAAACTTCTCCTTTCACATTCTACTGATTTTCTTTGACAAATTCCGCATGTCGATATTGTTAAAGGTGGGTAGGGTTAGGGTCGATAAGCTTACTTTTCTTACACCCACGATGATCGGTGAATTCTTTTAGACGCTATATATGGTATGTCTTTGGTCTTTTTTTTTTTTTTTTTAAAAAATGCGACAAAACTTGTGAAGTTTTACCTCACATTTGAAATTTGAAGGATGTATGGGCGTTTTAACCCTATATTTATAACAATTTCTGTATAGGAAAATTTATTCACGAGAATCAAATATATTCCGAGAAATATTCCAAACAAGTATTATTGTCAAACGTTTTTAATCCGATAAGGTAAAGGAATCATGATCTTACATAATTTATTTTCACAGAGGTATTTAAATGACAAATGAGATTTCATCAAATTTAATGGGTACCGAAAACGGTCTTAAATGGTCCTTTGGTCCTAATTGAAATTTCGAATTGATGAAACGTTATTAATCTTAACTATCCTGATAATTTTTATTCTTTATAAGGAAATTCACTCTGGATTCTTCTTGTCATTCTCATTCCCTCTTTCATAATAATAAAGGTATAGAATGCATCTTGTTATGAATTTTTTTTCTTTTGGATCCTCAAAAAAGTGAGCTTTAAAAAAAATTTTAAGAATTTTTAACGTGTAGACCGATGTAATAAATTTTTTTCCGTTCCTTATTTCTGAGTAATAAATTGTTTCTTTAAAAAAAAAAATTTTTCGAAATAATCTTAATATTCTATGCTATTAAATTTTTTTTTTAAATCATTTTAAGAAATGGGATACAATACTAGTAAGATCCAACCAATAAAGGAAAAGGGAAAAGAAAAAAGAAATATATCACGATATCACATCATATATGACGAGTAAAATCGCGTGAAACAACATTATTCATGAAATCCTTATTCGTCACTTCTTAATACGTAATGCCACCTGTATAGTATGTATGTATAGTATTTTTTTTTCATATAGTATTAGAAACCATAAAGATATGGACTATTAGTTATGAAAAACCATACATGTAAAGTATACATACCAAACAGGTTTGTGTAATACTCGTAATGCATCTATGATTCAACTCCGTTTTAGACGAGTCCTATAAATTAATTGCATAATTTTATAACAAAAGCAATTTTGGTAAAAAAAAAAGCTAAGCATATTATATTTATTAATTATAGTTATTAAAATATAAAAATTTTTAAAGTTTCTGTAAAGTTATTTTTTTTTACTTAATAAAATTTTTTAAATTTTATTTAATCATAATAAATTTCACTAATAAATATTTTACTAATGATTATTTTACTTTTAGAATATTTACAAACAGGATTATTTTATAAATAAATATTTTTATTTATATTTAATTAATAAAGATAAATAAAAAAATTTATAAATAAATCTTATTAATTAGTAAAAAAAACAAACCATAGTAGAGTGTGATATTGTATGATAAATAGTAATTTAAACTGTATATTATTATTAAACTAATTCTAAACTAATTCTAACATCACATAACTCTAAAATTTATTTTTATTATATAAATTATTTTATTAATTTATTAGCTATTTCTAATATGAATTTAAAATTTAAAATATTGCTATATAATAAAAATAGAATATAAAATATATTAAATTAATAAATTAAAATTTTTATCAGTTCAAATTATACAATTATACCAAATGCTTATAAATTTTATTAACATATGATTTTTATAAACTGTAGCAGTTAAATATAATTTATTAATAGCATTTTTTTAAATTCAGTAGCAATATTATAATAGCATATTTTTTATTTATAACTTAAATAAAATGATTTTATTTTAGTAAATATGCAATTAAAACTTCAAAATAGTTTTTAATTTTAAAATATATTTATTAAGTACTTTTAAACTAAAAATAAATCACCAATAAACTTCTTATTTTTATATATTTAAGTTTCATATTTATATAAAATTAATTAAATATAAAATAAAACTAATATATTATATATATTTGTTAAGTCTAATTTATATCATTTATCAATATATTTATTAAATCAATTATATTAATCATATTAAAATATCAAATATATCAGATTTGTAAATCATTTATATCATATTAGATATTAATTATTAATATTTTATAATAAATAAACTTATTTTAAATCTCTTAAACTTTATATTAATAGTTTTAATTATAATAATTTTAATATCTATTAAATAAACTACAATTATCTAAAGTATAACAAAGAACTTTCTATTGTAAAGCACTTAATAATTTATAATAACCCATAAAAATTTTCTTTCATCTATTAACATTATCTTTTTAATTACTTTCTACTTATTTCTTTTTAATTATATATTACTTTTACTTATAATACTAATAATTTATATTTTTTTTATATTACTAATAATATTTTTATGAGAAAAAAAAATTATTAATTAAAATTTATTAAAAAAAAACAAACTGTTAATTTTTTATCAAAATTAAATAATATGATAAATTTCAACAGTTTTCATTTTTCTAGTTATAAATAATATTAAATTTTAAAATAAATTTTTATCTTTTTAATATATTTATATATTCTTTAAATTTTATAAAAACTATTTTAAAAATTTAATTCATAAATTTAAAATGTAATTATATTAATAAATAATATAGTAATTGTTACAAATATTAATATTTTTTTATTACTTATAATTAAAATTTTAAATAATATATTAATTTATTAAAATTTTTAAAATAATAAAATATCTTAATATTTTAACATATTAAAATATATATTTTTAATTTAATAATTTTAATATTTTTAATATTTAAAAATATAAAAATATTTTATTATATAATCATAATAAAAATAAAACTTTGCTTATTATTATTTCTTTAATTATTTTACCTATAAATTTATAAGT